GATCTTTTGGTCTCCTCCTCTAAGAGCTCCATGGTCTTCAAAGAGAAGAAGAGGGGAAGAAGAAAGAACAGAAGAGAATAGGAAGAGAGAATGAGAGATGTGAGAAAATGAGAGGTAAGGCCTCCTATTTATAGGAATCTGCCTCAGCTAATCCAGAACGGCCCGTTCCAAAAGTGATTCTGGACTCTTCAGAACCAAGCAAAAATCTCAACTGGAACGGCCCGTTCCAAAACCCAGCAGAACGGCCCGTTCTACTTTCAGAACGGCCCGTTCTCCAAACCAGAACGGCCGTTTCTCCAACCGGAACGGCCCGTTCTCAACTACGTTTTTTTAGGTAAATTCTTTATTCTAGAACGGCCCGTTTCACTTTCAAAACGGCTCGTTCCAGGCAACGAATTAGGCCCACGGCCCCGCGAAAATTTGGGCTGTTACAATATTCCCCTCCTTTAAGAAATTTCGTCCCCAAAATTTTTGCAATGGTAGACTCCTCGCTTCTTACTTTCTAATTCTTGTGCAACCTCACTACCTTATTGATGTACAACTCTATCAATTTCACCAATGGGTATCTAAGGGTAAAACAAGTAAACTTGGTGAGCCTATCCACTAAAACACAAATAGAATCGATCTCTTAAGCGTCTTAGAGAAACTTACAATGAAAGTCTATCCACTCACCATTACAGTTCCAAAATGGGACGTACCGGCCCGTTTCACTTTCAAAACGGCTCGTTCCAGGCAACGAATTAGGCCCACGGCCCCGCGAAAATTTGGGCTGTTACAATATTCCCCTCCTTTAAGAAATTTCGTCCCCAAAATTTTTGCAATGGTAGACTCCTCGCTTCTTACTTTCTAATTCTTGTGCAACCTCACTACCTTATTGATGTACAACTCTATCAATTTCACCAATGGGTATCTAAGGGTAAAACAAGTAAACTTGGTGAGCCTATCCACTAAAACACAAATAGAATCGATCTCTTAAGCGTCTTAGAGAAACTTACAATGAAAGTCTATCCACTCACCATTACAGTTCCAAAATGGGACGTCTAAGTGCTACAAAAATTCCTAAAGACTTCTTGCATACTAAACACGAGCATACAATTTCTCTACTCCTCTCTTCACCTTAGGCCACCATGCTTCCGCTGCACCACTCTGATACATCCCCTAAGGTCCCAATACATCTCAGTAGCTCCTAAATGAATGTCCTTCCTCTAAAATCATCTTTCTTAATTGAAGGTTACTAAGCACTCAAATTTGTTCTTGCACCTCGAAACAACATCGATTCTACTCAGAAAAGTTATCTATACTCCTACCAATCTTTTCCACTTGGTTCTCTAAGAAAGGCTCTAACTCCTAGGCTTCTCTAATCTCATTCATTAATTCACTAGTC